ACAAAAGGGATCAAGTTCGATACAAACAAGGTTAGGAGATGTAGTCGGCTTTCCCGATAAAAAAAAATTAGATCTGAACGGGTGTTAAGTTAGCCGAAGGTACATGACACACACACACATAGAGATACACAGACCTAGACTTACCATTTGCTAACCTAATATGCCAAAGAACGAATACATGAACCACCCTCTTCTATCTCATTAGAAGACAGTTTCGTTACCAATATTTGGTACTGATTCAAATTTTGTAACTGTTTATGTTCCATAACTCAAAAAACAAAACTAGCGAAACTAAGGACTTGTTTTATTCATGTATAGATAGCTGTTGTAAACAAAAAAAAACTACCTTCAATATGTTAACGCTGCATTGTCCTAGTTTACAGAACCCACGAGGCCTCTTCTCAACGAAACCACAAATAAAACTACGATTTTTTAGTTCAACTTTTCCTTCAGTTTTTACGCAATGCTAATTTCAAGGTCTCCTAACTTGGCATCTGTGTTTAAGAACACCCAAATTAAAATTCTCCGCTTATTTATTCGGTTACAACACTATTTTGAGGTCACCAACGTTCAGCAGATAAATATTCCAAAATATGCATATAAAAAGTCCCAAAAAAGTGAAATAGTGGATGACTCAATTATTGTCGTCTTCGGCCCAAATGGCATCGTGATGTGAGATTGTAAATGTTATTAGAAGTAAATTAGAAGTGTGACTTTAAAGCAGAAAATTTCCTCAAATCGAATTTTATCTAACTCGGACATAACTGGTTACATTTAGGAGATTTTTGTTAGGGAACTTTAACACTATACCTTTAATTAATTAATAAATTGTCTACATTCACCATAAATATAAATATATATAAATGAATGTTTGTCTGTATGTCCTTTTTAAAATCGTAAACTATGCATTTGATCATGTGATGAACTTTGCATGAGCCAAAAAAAGTTTCTGAGTTGGTACGACCAATTTTCGATACTTGGCTTTAATGCTTTTTCATATAAAATTAGTAATATACAAACCTATTTCAACATTTTACAAAATTCTATCTCTTTAGGAAGCTGAAAGGGGTTTGCAAAGTTTGCATGTTTGTTTTTCATCCGATTTGTTTTAAATGGAACATTATTTGTGGTCAGATTTATTTGAAACTTGGTCTTAATGGTCTTTCATTTAATTTCTGAAAGACCTACTCGGCCTTTTTAAAAATTCAACTTCCAAAGGGAGGAGGGGATAAAAAGGTGTTGCAATTTTTGTTTGGGACATACTTTATTTGTGGTTGAATTTACTGGAAACTTGATATATGTATATGCTGTTTGATATTATTATTTAAATGAAAAGTGGTTGCAAGGTTTCCATGGGGTATATTTTATTTGTACTCGGATTTACTAGAAGGTTGCTCGTTGTTGAAATTAAGCAAATACGTGTTTTGGCAATTTTTAAAAATCAACCCTTAAGGATGAAATATTGTTGCTACGTTTGTATTTGAAATCTAAGATGGCGACATTACATAAAATTAAAACGTTGTAAGGGTGAATTGGGAGTTAAAAGGTTTTATGGAGAAACAATATTAACTTCTACCAGCGAAGCCGAGGGGAAAAGCTAGTTAATTAATAAATTGTGTACTGTCTACATTCACCATAAAGTTTTCCCTATTAGCAATAAATAAAGTTACCCGTAAACAGCTAAAATGACGTCACCGAAACCTCAAACATAAAAATCTAAACGCCAATTGGCATTTGGCACCTTCGTGTCTTTACCACATTATTTCCTCAATAACGAAAGTGAATTATGGTTCAAAAGAAATTGATTATCAGACAAATAGATACTCGTTATAAAAATGAGGTCAAAAGAAGATCATAAACCGAGACCTTAATAACTAAAACTGTAATGCAACCATAGTCACGTTGTACACATCAACATTAAGCTTTCATATGTTCAGACGATGTTTATGTTAAGGCCTTTTGAGTAAATCGCATTTGATAACTGCATGCATGCATGCATCATATGCTGTTTCAGTTTGCCTTCTTTCTCTTGTTTCAACAAATGGTTAACTACAAGGTCTATAGAATGAAGATTTATTATAGTTAAAGATACCTCTTATTTCGAAACGGTTATGTATATGTTATATTCCAAAATTGGAACAAAGACTTTTTAAAAAAGTTTATTAATACAAAGTACAAACTATACTAGGTCTAGTCTTAAGCTAGAATAACTNTTTTATTTGTACTCGGATTTACTCGAAGGTTGCTCATTGTTGAAATTAAGCAAATACGTGTTTTGGCAATTTTTAAAAATCAACCCTTAAGGATGAAATATTGTTGCTACGTTTGTATTTGAAATCTAAGATGGCGACATTACATAAAATTAAAACGTTGTAAGGGTGAATTGGGAGTTAAAAGGTTTTATGGAGAAACAATATTAACTTCTACCAGCGAAGCCGAGGGGAAAAGCTAGTTAATTAATAAATTGTGTACTGTCTACATTCACCATAAAGTTTTCCCTATTAGCAATAAATAAAGTTACCCGTAAACAGCTAAAATGACGTCACCGAAACCTCAAACATAAAAATCTAAACGCCAATTGGCATTTGGCACCTTCGTGTCTTTACCACATTATTTCCTCAATAACGAAAGTGAATTATGGTTCAAAAGAAATTGATTATCAGACAAATAGATACTCGTTATAAAAATGAGGTCAAAAGAAGATCATAAACCGAGACCTTAATAACTAAAACTGTAATGCAACCATAGTCACGTTGTACACATCAACATTAAGCTTTCATATGTTCAGACGATGTTTATGTTAAGGCCTTTTGAGTAAATCGCATTTGATAACTGCATGCATGCATGCATCATATGCTGTTTCAGTTTGCCTTCTTTCTCTTGTTTCAACAAATGGTTAACTACAAGGTCTATAGAATGAAGATTTATTATAGTTAAAGATACCTCTTATTTCGAAACGGTTATGTATACAGGGTGGATCAATTTAGATGTCCCCTTATAGTAACCAAATTAAATGCAGCGTTGTTATTGTTCGATGCCCACTAATTAAGTAATTATTTATATTATCATCGTCATCATCATCATTATTATCATCATTCGGTCATCAGGTGGAAAGGCACTTGTCACGCATTTCCACTATTCCTCATATCCCTTTTCATTATGTTGTCTTCCCTCTGAACGTTTAATTTTTTCAGGACCTCTTATAGAAGATATTACCAGTTACTGTTTACAATTTATCTAGAGCACTACACATCGAACCAATGATTTTGAAATGAACAATACGAATAAAATAATTTACGACACACGGGATTCTGAAATACCTCTAACAAATGTTTTGAATCTCCAAATTAACCTTTCCAAACACAGAAGGGTTGTCTTTCTAATATAATCGACTCTTTTTTCAATCCTCGGTTATCTGACTCCCCAAATATGGAAAACAGACGATTTAATATAATTATCCATTTTCAATTTTTATATTAGCTCTGACGCTACATTTACCACCCTTAGATAACAATCATTTTGTTTCATTGTTATTTACTTGTATTCCTATTGTTAGATAGCAGATGCAGAAAGAAAATTAATTTCAAAAACAAAATTTTACTTACAATATAAAAATAACGAAACGCCTAGGAAAATTAAGGGCAGAATGAGGTGAGAGATATGTTCCCAAAAATGCTCTGGTAGTGTCACATCCAAATGGGTTAATTCAAAAACGCTAAAAAGGCTTATTCAAATAGGAGAAGTAGTGATTATTTATAACATAAACATTGTGTTCATTTTCATTGTTAGTGTTATGAAGTTCTAATATTAAAATCTTTCTCGTTTTTATCTTTTGGAATGTTTATTTATTTGCATTTATGTTTTATTCATATTTCGAAACTCATGAATGTACAATCATTTCTATTCATTGCTGTTCGCAACATAGTAAAATCCGTCTATAATAACTCCATTTATAGCGTCGGTTCGGATGTAAGAATAAAATTTTGTACATTTAATTGACTGTATATGAACCCAAAATATAAACCCTTTTTCTTGTATTTTATACCTACTGCTTATAGTCTGATATTCTCTTACACCGACGAATTCGATTTTCGTTCTAATCATTAAAAATCCGGATACAACGGCAGCGTCATGATGACAAACAATACACTATTTGCAAGCGTAAGTTTTCAAAAGTTTTAATAAAATTGTGACTTTATTAAATTACTTGAAATTTACCGCTTATAAGTAGGTTTTATTCCGGACTACCGGGCTATCGTTATATCCAAATTTAAAACATCGCTAAAACCGTATACCTATGTCGCCATAAGAGAAGATGTTAATATTTCAGGATTTTAGCTTCCGTTCGTGAACAAACTAACCAAAATGAAAGTTGATGGTAGTAAAAGAGCTTATCGGTTACATTTTTCTTTTGCATTTCACCGGCTCGCACATTTCTGTAACATAATAGCCTTCTCCGACTGGCCTACTACTTCAGTTTGTAACTAAAAACACATAACGAGCAAAATTCCTAGCTTTGTAGATTTTACTCACTGATTTTTTATACTTGAAAACATCCCTGTACTTTTAATGATGCGCACAGAACCAGGATGAATTTTTATAGGTACTTTTATGGCACGAGTGTCACGCACGCGTGAACCATGTACAGAGTCGTTTCACCTTCTTCTATAATGAACGTAAAATTCCGATACCTTTAATTTGATATACGGTACATGTATTTACGACCTACGCAAAAAAAGTACTTCCAAATTGCTATCAAGCGTTTACTTATTAGATCTTTCTTTTTCCTATCAGCTAATACATTATTACAGTGTCTTTTGTGCATAGATATTTTATTCCTATTTGAGTTTTAGGGATGGCTCTCTACTAATTGAAACACTGAAGATTTTTAATTAGTGATTATTCTTTTTTCCTACTTAAAAATGTTTCATTTATTGTTAAATTTGTTAATCAAACTTTGAAATAAAAAGTTTCTGGGATGTAAAAAGTAACAAACTCACCTCGAAGTTGGTAAATGCTAATATCAAGCTTGTATCACTTATAACTCATAACAAACGAAATGCTTTTGAAAGCGTGCAATTTGTAATGTTCCAATGATCCCCCCGACAATGCACCAGGCGATTTGAGATGGAGACCACTCCAGCGGCTTTTTTAGAATCGACTATCAAGAAACAATTCTTCAACCTTGACCGGTGGCACAGGACCGATTCGTGCAAATGATTACTTACCGTGCGGGATTGATGGCAACCGTTACTTACACATGTAAATGAACGATAAGATAATTTTTATCGTTTTCCCGCACGTACAATGATTTTCAATAATTTCGGTAAACAAATACATGATTATTTTCAATTAGCTACTGTCTGGGACGACAGTATTAGTAAACGAACAAAAACGTGGCTTCGCAGTAGCCATTTTAAATCCGCCGCGTTAAAAAACGGTAAAGGTCTAGATGATGGCCCCCACCCCCGAAGGGATGGTGGGATCGAAAGAGGAGGTCTCCTCGACCACTGTACCATAAAAAGTTCGTGGCGGTCTCACCCCCATAAAAAGTTACAGTTATAGGGGTTCAAGTTTAATAAATATGCCAATTTTTATACATTTCTAGGCATTAAATATTTATATAGTCTTTAAACAATATTCAAAGGTAAAACTAATGGAAAAATACATAAAAATATTGAGAAAGTTATATAAAACACTATTTAAATATCTTTATCAATAGGGTAGGTTAGGTTAGGTTAGGTTATCGGGTTTTGTTCAAGTGACCACCCTCTTTCGATCCCCCACCTCCACCCGCTTGAAAATATTTTTTTTATTGAATTTTATTTGAATTATAGTGTAT